TTTTGGTCCTTAAATTTTGGAATCAAGGGTTTTTTTTTTTTTTTTTTTTTTTTTTTTTTTTTTTTTTGCTCTCTTTAAAAAAAGAAAATTGTTGAATTGTACCTTAGAGTGCATGAATATATAATTTTTACCACATACTATTGATTAATATCCTTTTAATTAATATAATTATTTTACTAAAAAAGGTTTTCATCAAGCAGTAAAAATTTATATTTATGCACTCTAAGAGTATTTGTCTACTTTTTTCCTCTTAAACTTTTAATTTCACAGTCTATTTCTGGCATCTTATCCATAATTAGCACATTTCTCATAATTAAAAACTCCAATTCCGTATCAAGATCACGGTCGATATCATCACAATATTGTCACTAGCTATCATCAATAAGAAAAACAAATCACCCCTTTTAACTTGTTAGACGATTGCAATGTAGCCCGTTTCAGTAATGGCAGCTAAATGACTAAAGAATATATCAAATATTTGCTCTCTCTCGATTGATGGTGAAATTCCTCAATCACAGGACCCTCTTCCTTAGAATAATCTTCTCGATGTTGGAGCTCCAAAACATTGACAAAATCGACGGCTGCATTAGATTTTATGTTGTGAACCTTGTGGGTCCACGGAAGCACGGACCACTTCCCTAGTGTTAAATACACCGACGAGGTATTTGTCGATACTTACACAATGAAGATCCGGAAAGGCATCACACTCCTCCAGGCCTACGAGGGCACCGACACTAACATATCCCTCGCTTCTTCTACCACAACTGTTTCTCCATCGCTAACAACTATTGCACATGTCTCATTGAGATCGACAACTCTCCTTTGTCTTTCTCCTCTCCGAAATCATTGTTTTGATTGATCACTCCCTTTCTCCATCCAATTGCTTTGGAAGATTCATGCTTGTGCTTCGCAGAAAACATGTTAATCGAACGGTGTCATGTGAGGGAATTAGATTTTTTGTCAAATTTTAGTGTCTCAATTAGTGTATAACTAATCATATCATGTCACGTCGTGTAAAAATTTAAGTTTATTTTTAATTAATTTTTTTGTGTTTATTATGAGATGATATAGTATGATTTGGTTAGATATCATTTAAAACACTAAAAATTGGACATAAAAATCGGATACTGTGTGAGGTAAACATGCGGATCTAACGAAGAAATTGGCTAAAGAAAAGGACAAACAAAGTCTGTATATAAAGCAAAAACTCTATATGTGCACCTACTATATTTCAAAATTTGGTGTAAATGAATCCCCGTAAATTATATGTACATACCTATGATACGAAACAACTGATTTAGCAATTAAACTATTCGTTTAGTGTCATTAAGCTTGGACATAATCGAATGGCAGAGAAACATCTAAACTACATCACTATTTATAACAATATATGTGCGTGTATTCGTGTCCATACCCACAATGGCAGTATGTAAATACAAATACATATTATTATACATCGGAAACCAAGCAATAAATATAACAAACAATAGTATATGTACAAAGAACATATTTAAAAGCAATCAAGATATAATTCACCCTCCAAGTTTGTCTGAGATCGAATCAGATGAATCGGTATGGAAATTCTCTTTTTCTTTTGATGTTCGGTGAGAGGGCAAAATGCAAATATGTGTCAAGGAAAAACAGGACAGAAGTTGGTCGAATTGGGATAAAAGGTAAGGTAATATACGTGACAAGTATATATTACTACAACATGTTGCTGTCGATTGCCACTCTCTTTCTTCATACTACCGATGAATTCATCCGACTAAATTACAAGGTGTAAAGTTTATCCCAAATTCAAAAAAAAAAAAAAAAGTTACATAAGTACGTTTTAGTTTCCTTTTTTTTCTAAATCTACATCTTTATTTTTCGAAACTATATATAAAGGTATTTTTTAAAACTTGAGAGTTATATTTAATTTCATCCCTCATCACGTATTTTTGGACCAAAATAAAATAAAATGAAAAGATAAAATATTCCTACGTGAGGGATCAAATCTAAAATATTCTTTTTGTAGCTTTAATAAATATAATTTATAATTCAAAAAAAAAATACAAAATTATAAATTAAAAGTAGGAGTAGAAAAATTATACTAGTGGTAGAGAATTATTTTCAACCGTCTAATATATTAAAAATATTATGTTCTATATATTTTTTAATTTAATATAAATTTAATCAGATTCAAGGTATTGATAAGTAGGCTTACTAAAGAAAGTGCCCTACTAGACAAAAATTGTAAAACTTAAAAGCATACTTAGGTAATTATTACCCGTTGACTATGATACAGCCGTTAGTCTTATAACTAATCCAAAACAGCCTTGCTTACGCCAAACCCATGCACACACAACAACCCCAGAAAAGCCAAGAGTAACCATGCACAGTCATTCTGGAAGTGGACATTCCAACGCTTATTTAACCTCGAAACACTTTCACAATCCCAAACCACACGAATCAACAATAACAAGGACATTCCAACGCTTATTTAACCCCGAAACACTTTCACAATCCCAAACCACACGAACCAACCATAACAACTAACTCCAAAGAACCCATTTATTAGCGAAGAAAACAATGACAAAAACCAAAAGCAAAATGCATGTCCAAATCACCGAAACAGCTCTTGTCGCGCCTACCACAATTCCCTTCCACGACGACCACGTCCTCCCTCTCTCCCACATCGACAACGACCCCAACCTCCGCGTCACCTTCCGCTACCTCCGCGCCTACGCCGGCACGGCCACCGACCCCTCATCCGATCCGTTCGACATCATCGCCTCCGCCCTCTCCTCCACCCTCGTCCGCTACTACCAGCTAGCCGGCTCACTCCGCCGTGGCCCCAACCGGCGCCTCGAGCTCCTCTGCTCCAAAGGCCAATGCGTCCCCCTCATCCGCGCATCCGTCGACTCTACCCTCTACTCCGTCGGCTCCCTTGACGACGCGGACGAGCGTTTCGTCGAGCAGCTCGTGCCAAACCCGGGGCCAGTCGAGGGCCTGGCGCGGCCCTGCATTCTCCAGCTCACCATGTTCGAGTGCGGGGGATACACCCTCGGGACGGCGATTCACCACTCGATCTGTGACGGGCTCGGCGCGAGTCAGTTCTTCAACGTAATGGCCGAGTTGGCTCGGGGAGTGGTGAGTGGTTCGCCGGTTCAGCCGGTCTGGGATAGGCAAAGCTTTCTTCGGCCGAGGGAGTTTCTGCGAGAGGAGGTGCCGATCGGGGAGTTCTTGAGTTTGGACGGCGGGCTCTCGCCGTACGAGCAGCCGATCGGCCCGGTCGTCAGGGAGTGCTTTCATGTGACGGACAAGTGCTTGAACCTGTTCAAGAAAGAGCTGTTGGATCGCTCCGGGTTTAGCTTTACCACCTTTGAGGCGCTCGGAGCTTTCATTTGGCGAGCTAAGTATGTTTGTTTTTTTTTTTTTTTTTTTTTTTTTTTTTTTTTTGGTAATTAGGCATATATTCTGAAATGACTCTTTTTAACTTTTTTTCAAAATATGGCTGAAGTTTTATAAAATTAAGGAAATGAAAATCATGGTAAATCAATGATAAATTGATATAACACTGATTGATTTGATGGTGCATCACTGACTAATTATGCAGTATTCATTGAACAACCAATATCGTTTAATGATAAACCAATTTCAATCGGTAATTTACCCTTTAATAAGTGAAAAGTCATTGGTAAATTAATGATAAATCTGTTTTATCAATGATAAACTATGGTATCTCCATTATTGATTACAAAAAATGTTCTTTACTTATAAAAAATGTTTGGACATTTGTCAAAAGAGAAAAAGAAAAGAAAGGTCCAGCCCTTATTTTAAAATGGGTAATGAAAATCAGACATCCACCTAACTTTCTATTATTATATTATTGAGAATTTTAAGCTTCGTTTATTTTACCGATTCGAGTTTTGTTACAGTAAAAAACTTTAAGAAACAATCATATCTAACTTTTTTATGACAATAAAAAGCTCTCACATAAAGTCACATTTTAACTCCAATCAACGAACTAAACAAACCCTTACATTATACTATAAAAAAGAAAATTCCTATTTGCTAACTTCTATTTTAATTTGTTAGATGTGTATCAGATTTTGTTAATTGTATATATTTTGATGCGATTTTAATTTATATGATGTTAAGAACATACATTACTAAATAAAAGTTCCTATCTTAACTAGAACCTTATAAATATTGTTTTTAAAATTTTTAACTGTTGACATGTTAAACATGCTTTCAAAGAGTACGTAAAATTGTGATAGACTAGTATTACGTAATCTCTGTTTGTTTCACTGGTTATTTTAGTTTAATTCAGTTTAAATAGTGAGTACGGTTTAAATTCATATTTTGTACGCACACAGTCTGAATTATATTCTCTATTTGAACTGAGTTAAACTGTTCAACTTCGGCCTCGTTCAGTTCACGGATTCGAGTTGAGATGTGATTTTATGTGATAACTTTTTATTGTAGCAGAAAAAGTTAGATGTGACTTTTGAGAGAGCTTTTAACTGTAGTAAAATTAGAATTGAAAACTCGAATTGGTGAAATGAACGAGGCTTTAAAATTTAACTCTCTCTATAGTTCAACCGTTCAAAGTATCTTTGAATAATAAAGGTGTCTATTCTCTCTGCTCTTCACACTTTATTTTTTGTTCAGTCTAAAGTTTTAACTGCATATGTAAACGTCAATTCAAACTATAATTTAAACTGTACAGTTTGAATTTTTCAGTTCAAAAAAAGATAAATCAATAAAATTTAACCCAGCAAACTAAACGGGACAGTACGTAGTAACTTTTGAAGAATAAATTTTTTTTTCTTTTTTTTTTTTTACTATAACATTAGATCGTCACTTTTCATGAACTCTTACTACCAAGTCAATTGCGTTATAGAGTTAGCTTTGACAATTAGCGACACAATTGATGCTTTGAATTTAACGACTCAACTCTGACCGCACGTTCTGTTTGATTTCAATTCAACGTCAGTCTCAGCCCGGCGACAAACACTGCCTAACTATAACCTTAATAAAATAAAAAATAAAAAATAAATTAGGGGGCAGGGTTTTTTTGTTTCTCAATCTAAAATTTTGACTAGAAAAATAAAAAATAGAAAAAAGAATAAATACGAAATTATCAAGCGTATTTTCTAGAAAGAATAAATTTTTTGTTTAGAAAAAGACTTAAAAAAACGTAAAAAACGTGATACAAGACACGCCAGTGTAATTTGGATGTTGACTTGTACTTGTAATGCTTGTACCATGGTGTTAATTACTTTATGATCTCATCTCCGAGGACTAATTACATTGATTCTAAAATCAATTTGATCCAAATGAGCCAAAGGATTTGATTTGGCATGTTTTATTCTCCGGACAGTTTTGTGGTAAGATAAAGGGAAAAAACACAACCGGTAATATACAAGTTCCAAAAAGCTCATTCACATTAAAATCATATTAGATTTTTTTTTAAAATAGGGATTGTGTATAATAGTGCTTGCAAAAATAAACTATTTATAGTCTCTTACTTTTTAGTTATTTTTTTAACTTAATGTGATTTTAACAAGATCTAACGGTTAAAAACTAAGACTGTCGGTAGGATAAATTATCGGAGAAATTCTAAATAAAAAAATAATAGAAGTACTTCATCAAATCCTACATTAAAAATTGTGTCTCACCGTTTGGGTAATTTTTCATACCATTCAACAGAATTATCCTTAGTTCTCTTAATATTCAACAACTTTATATACTAGATTTTAAGCTGTCACTGCCTGAAACCGAGCCTTTCCTTAGTGCCATGATCAGTGTCAAACTAATCTACACAAGATAATGATGCTCCAACACAAACATTATGGTAGAAAGTCAATGCTTTCCAGTAATATAATTTCTTATAACAAGTGATTAGTATGCCTCTTGCTCTGGTTGTAAGGCATTTCTCCCTCATTCGCATGTTTGTCATTCCTAATACAGAGTTAAGGCAGCGAAAATTCCCGGAGATGAAATTGTGAAGTACGCATATTCACTCAACATAAGGAAGCTAGTAAAGCCCCCACTTCCTCCTGCCTACTGGGGCAACGGCTGCGTCCCAATGTATGCCAAAATCAGCGCCGAGGATTTAGTTGAGAAGCCAATTTGGGAAACGGCGGAGCTGATCAAGAAGAGCAAAAGGAACGCCACCGACGAGTACGTGCGCTCGTACATCGACTTCCAGAGTCTGCACTGCGGGGAAAGGATCATAGGTGAGCGCGTTCACAGACTGGAGACACTTGGGGCACTCGACCGTGGACTTCGGTTGGGGAGGTCCCGTTACAGTTTTGCCGCTCTGCGGGCACCTTCTCGGCAGTGTTGAGCCTTGCTATTTCTTGCCTTACTCGACGGCGAGCGTCGGAAAGAAGGACGGGTTCAAGGTCTCAGTCACTCTACGTGAGAAAGCCATGCCTGCTTTTAAGGCCGAGATGGACAAGTTTGGTAAGGGAGATTTCGGGTTGTCATCCTAGATGCGTGTGACACGCTTTTAAGTTTTATGGAGTATTTTTATTATGTGATGGAAATATAATAAATTACTATCTAAAAAAAATGAACGGCATCGTAAACTTTGTACTATATGAAAAAAAAAAAAAAAGGATAATAAACTTTGTAAACAAACGTTATTGATTGGAACGTCCAAAAAAGAAAAGTTATTGATTGGAGAATGCCTTCTTGGATGTTACGTACTTGAAGGCCGGCCTTGGGTGTGTGTAACTCGAGATAATTAAAAATACGTTTTAGCAGAAAAGACAAAGAGAAAAGAAGGTCTGAGAACTTTGGGGAAAAGCTCAATACTCTTGAGCAAAAGGAATTTCATTACACTATATACAATTGTAATAGTTCTAATACAGTACCAGCTATACAATTAAAACAGTTTTATACACGTGGACCAATAGTAAAAACTATACAGTAAATATTGAAGGAATTGCTGATAAAATACAAATACTTTTATGCTTTAACAATTAACAATAAAACCTTTTTTTATATAAATTTAATGAGAAAGTAAAGCAAAATATTCTTCAAAGTAAATATATTTAATTTTAGTTGTCATAACTATTGTTTATTTTTTCTTTTTTTATCATTTACCAAACAACTCACTTTTTTTAGTTTTTATCTCAAAATCTCTCTACACTTTCTTTTCTTCAACTTTTCTTCCCTACCAACATTGTGTAAAGGAGGCTCTTTTTTTTTTAAATAAAATGTCATTCAATTAAAAAGCCATACAAACATCAATACTAATATAGATAATGTTGACAGTAAAAATTGGTTAACTCAAAATTTAACTTTTCTGAGAACACTCACAGACGTCTCTAACGAATTTATTAAGAAAATAATTGCAGAAAAGTAAAAGATGCAGAAGTTTATAGTGGTTCGGTAAAAACTCATTTCCTACGTCCACTTGTGGATGCACTAACAATTTCAGAATTACAATCTTTTTGAGTAGTAAAGTAGTGTGTAAAAAAACTAAATGCAGAATTCAGCCTTTTTTATAGGCCTTCCTCAAATATGAGATCATTATCTCTAGTTTTCCGAGGATAATTCCCTTATCCTTAATTCTCAGGATTTGACAGTTGTATTTTCATATTTGAATGTTCAAATCAAAGGAATTATCTCGACAGGTCAATATCTGATCTTCCTATTTGAATTTAGATATTTGATGAGGCTTATCTGGTCCTGATTTGACGGGATTTGATCTCTTGGTCTGATTTAATTCTTGACTCTTGACGCAGAGGCTTCAAAGGGTTTTTTGTGGACTTCTTGACTTCAACAACGCATAGGCTTCAAGAGGACCTTAAGCACTTCTCGACTTCAACACTTTAGCTCTAAGAGCGCTCCTCAACTTAGAGACATCTCCCTCAACTGTTAGTTCTTGACGTCAGGGATTTGTCCTGACTTCCGGAGCTCTCGACGCGTACGACAAAAGCGGGTGGCTTGAATGGTCAACCATGGTGCAACAGATGACTTTATGGGACACAATAAAACCATCTATTTAGGCCCCGTTTATTTCACGATTCAAGTTTAAAATTTGAGTTTTACTACAGTAAAAAGTTCTCAGAAACAGTCTTATCTAACTTTTTTATTAAAGTAACAAATTCGCATATAAAATTATAGTTTAACTCAAATTTAAAACTCAAATCAGCGAACTAAACGGCCTTAAAATAACCCCCCAATGAGCAAAAACTTGGGCGCGTGATACTCTAGATTCGGGTTACAAATCAGTATTTAACCCTTCTATTTAATGCTCTAAAAAAAAAAAACAAAAAAACCCCTCTTTAAAACCCCCCGTGACTAATCAAAGGAGGCCAGCCAATGCTTGCTGTACACCGCCAACCAAACTCATGCACGCACACCAACCACCGAAAAAGCCAAAGAGTAAACATTACCTTCGAAAAATAATTGGAACTCCAACTCCAACACACTTCCACAACAACTATAAATTCCATTTCCAAGCACCAATTATCAGGGGGCCAATAAACATAAACCAAAATGAAAGTCAACATCACCGGAACCGCTCAGATCGCCCCGGCCACAATTCCATTCGCCGACGACC